AAGGCGCTCCTTGCGGGCGGCTTCTGTCTGCAGAAGGTCGTGCACGAGGTACAACGCGTGCAACCTCCCCAGCAGTGTGAAGAAGCGATTGCAACAAAGCAACTACATCTTCGCCGCCACATGCGCCTGTGAGCACAGATGCACACGAAAGACACGCGACCATGATGTGCCCGGCAATGTGCGGTGCTGAAGCCTGCAGCCAAAAACTCAGAAAACCTCACAGGACACACAGAACAGATTGCGGAACATTCGATCCAAAGCCTTTGTGTTGTGAAAATGGACTTGGGTCAAGGCACAGGCAAGCATGCTCCTCCTCAAACCACCACGACATCATCTTCACGCACATACTGCACCTCCACGTGGAGGCATTTCCGTCCAAGAACCCCTTTCAAAAAGAGTTGTGGAGGCATGCTGAGAGCCATGCGGGGTCCCAGCAGTAGCTATAAAAGCCGAAGGTCCAGGAATCCAAGAAATCGCGGACCTGAACTTCGATTCCGCAGGTTTGTGCACAAGCGATCTGCCTCTGAGCGTGTGGCACACGAATGTGCATACTCGCGAACGATACGCTCCTGTCTTCAAGACTCCCGAAACAGAACAGAGCTACGAAAAAAGCTGTCGACAGAAGCCCGGCCTTCCTTTTCTGCTCCTCGCAAGGAGACCCGAATCATGTCATGGATGGTCATGGTAACTACACGCTGAAACCAAGGCCTCAAAGACAAACCAGACATGCAAGAGAAAAGTGCATGAACTTTATGCTCGAACTCCTCCAATCGCCTGAGCTTCTCTCGCAAGAACGCGATATAGGCCATCTTCTGCTCATGCGTCATGTTTCGCTTCTCTTCTTCAGTCAGCGCCATGGCAAGAAAAGCTGAGAGGATTGGCAAAGCTGGGGACAAACAGTGTCAGAGTGGACAACTGCGGTGAGCAGCCATTTAGTCTATTTCCCGTACCACGATGCGAGCAGGAATCAATCAACAGCAAGCCATGCAAAGTAATTTTCCAAAACATTACCGCCACATAATGTCGAGCAGGGCGGCATGCCTTCTTGGAGGCCGCAGGTGTTCCGCAATGCAGTTCGAACCATTCAGCACTAGCATGGACTTGGTGCACTTTCGGGGTTTAGCTGCATCCTCGGCCACTACAACATTGCCCATGCATCGTGCGGAATCTAATGATATAGAGGAGCTTTGCCACCCTCATGGGTTTTCGAGGGCGTCAGCACACAGTCAGCCACTGGTCGTCCGGAGTGTAGGCGTCGATGCCTCATGTGGTGTCTCCCACAATCGGGGTCGTTGTCTAGTGTACCTATCACTTGGCTAGCCTACGAAGCTGCATTCTTAAAATGTTTGACCCGGAAATGGGGATTGTGCATGATAGCTTGGGGTGCTAACACGACTTTTCAGGGGTTCCACGCCACACTCAGGACCTTGCACAGCAAAATGATAGGAGAGACCACCACCAAGTTGAACCTGAGCAATGATCAAAGTTCCCGGCGTAACTGCAGGCCTCATGTTCAAATCCACGTGGATCAAACACCAACAGGGATTTGGGGACCCCGCTCGATTCGCCATCACCCACGGCCGTCTCGAGATCTTCGATGACGATGGAATCCTCACAGTGGGGAAGGCAAATGCATGCTGAAACTGCCAAGCATGCACACCTTTCAAACCCTGCACCTCAGGCCGAGGGGTGGTTGGCAGAGACTCCTCACCGCACGGGACCAGCAAAGCAACTTTCCTTGCCACTGCAGGACCGAAGACATCAGCAACCAGTGAATTGTAGCTCTTGCCTGGCGCTACTTGTGCAGATGGAGCCGCGTCTGCCGCACATCCTCCCAGGCTTCAACCGGGAAGGTTGGTAGCAAACGAATCAAAGGAGCAATGCTGAGGATGCCTGGAGGCGGGGAGTCATCCAAGCTGACATCGACAACCTGCCAAAGAAGCAAACCGTCCAGGAAGCATCGGTGTTTGCAACCGTCACTGAGATGCAAACCTTATCGGCCGAGCGCACTACGTGCCACGTCCAGTGGAACAATTAGACGGTTCACCCCTAGCTCCATGTAGACATCACTCCTTGGTTCCGACATGAAGTTGGCTGTCTTCCGAAGATGGATCTGGAGTAGCTCTATGTCTGCAGTAGTGACATAGCATAGGACGCCAGTCTCGCAGAGCTTGAGATTAAAACCCAGCACGTTCAGCAAATCTGCCTGCCGGTGATCCTCTGTGCTCTCTCCCTCAAACCCCCAGCTATGCCCACGTTTCGTAGATCCTTGCTGATGAGCTGCACGTTTCGCTGACTCTTCCTGTCACGCAAGGCTACTTGCGAAGGGGCTGCAATGCAAACCAGGCGGAGAAACAGACTGTCAACAAGCTGCAGCGATGTTTCAGCAAGACATAACACAGAGCTCTCTTCACTTAACCATTGACCGTAGAATCTGGTCCTGTTGGGATAGTATTTTGAACACGCACGGCACTCAAGACAAAAGGGCACTCGAAGCATACGCCAAAAGCAGCGCAAGAGCTCCAGTGGCACTCGAAGTCCCTCAAGAGAACTCCAACGGCAGCTGACGGAATTGGTTTACTTTTGCTGATCCTTGCCAAATCCCTGAATTTTCACTAGTTCTAATTCCTTTCGGCTATGACAGCACTTCTCCAACAAGTGGGCAGCCATGCACACGGATGAGTTGCTCCCTTAAATAGCGGCGTCAACATGTATTCGGTTCTTACCGGCCTGTACCCTGTACCTGTAAGTATTTGCCGCCGGCTCGTTTGTTGGCATGCGCCGCCTCGGGTCTTTGGGCTTTTTCTGGTCTCTCGAGGTTGGCATTTGCTAGGTTCACTCCTTTGCGACATACGTTTGCAGGGGATTGTTTAGCATTTAGGGACTTGGAACCCTGAACAATTTACTCCCTTAACCTTTCTCAAGAGACCAATGCTGCCATTGCAGCTTGAATTGAAAGAAGACCTTAACGAGCTCAATGATCTCCAAAGCCATGCAAGTGCCGCTGTTTGCTTCTGTCGCTTGCCTTCCTTCGCTCTGTCTGTCTGTCTGTGGTGCGGCGGGGCTCAGATACGGCAGCTAAGCACGGCCCCCTCTTTTCTCCATGGCGGAACGGGCTGATCGGATCGCTGGCAAGCATGTTTCGGTTGTTCGCTCGTGCGATGCTTTGGTGTCTCTGCAGTACGCGAGCTGAGAAACCTGTTTGCCCCACGTCGTTAACGGGGCCGCGACTCACTGAAGCGAGAGAGAGCGAACCTGAAGGCACAGACAGGCAAAAGCATTCGCAAAGCCTGGCGACCGAAAAAAAACAACCGGGCCGCCGGCGCTCTTTCAGCACACAGGAGGCGGCACCGCACTCATGGTGCTGAAGCCGCCAAAGCCGCCAAAGCCTCGCAGACTCGCGCGAGAGTTCCCTCTCCCCATCTGAGCGGTTTCCGCCTCCACCCAGGTGCCGAGTCGACTCGTACTCCCGCGACTCGCGAGGCCTGGGCGGAGCTCTGGGCTCTGAGCCGGAGGGCAGCTCTCCGCGCAGCTTTCTGCGCGCAGCTTTCAAGCCCCGACTCGCGCGACCGAGACCGAGAGGAGCTCGAGGAACTGCTGGAACGGCGGTCCTACAGCTCTGTCTTCTTCTGCACAGCTGAAAGTGCTTTGCAGAAGTCCCTTCACCACCTCAAGGCTTCAACAACAAGCGGGAATCCGCGGTCGCCATGGGCCCCCGCCTCGTCCTGCAAGTCCTCGTAGAATTCCTCCACTTTGGCTAGCAGCTGCGGTGTGGGAACCTTCGGCTGTTGAGGCAAGGAGAAACCACTCTCTTCTCCCCCACCTCCCCCCCCCCCCGCGACCCTCCGTGCCTCCATCGCCGGCAAGGCCTGCGGAGTCATGGCCTCGGGAACGGCAGAGCGCTCTGCCCCCGATGCCGCATGCCGGTGCGGCTCGGCTCGCTGCAGGATCTAGCGGCTTGTACCTACGGGCAGGCGCAAATGCTCTGCTGCTCTTGCGACTGTTGTCGGCCGTTGCAGCTCGCAGGAACAAGCGAAGTGCTCGCTGGCCTCACGAACCTGCCACCCTGAGCCTGACTGACGCCGGCCTCCCAGCCAAGAAAGGCCACTTCCAGCTCCCAAGCTTTCCGAATGAAAAACACAAGAACTCATGAAGAACCTACGAGGCCCCAGCCAACATGGATGCCAGGACCCCCACCGGGACCGACTCCGGCCTCGGGCACGGGGCCACCCGAGCCCATCAGCCCGCCTCGTCCTCCGCCCTCCGCTCTTTCCAGAAAAAGCCCTTCAAACTTCCCCGCGCCGAAGTTGTGAAAAGCCCACATCCGCTTCGCGCCATGAATGGCGCATGCAGAACCTTTGCTTTGAGGGATCGGCGTCTGCACGCCGCTGTGCTGCAGTCCAGCCAGGACCTGACAGGAGAAGGAGAAGCCGCTTCTGGGGAAAGTCGGGAGGGCCGGAGAGCTTTCATTATCAAAACAGGCTGTAACGTGAATTGCATTGCGGGCGCCTGCTTCTGGTAGCCGTGCAGCATGGGCCTTCTAAATCTTCCAAGACATGCGGCACCACTGCACGAGAAGGCGAGACCACCCCAAGACAGTCAGAAACTAGACTAGGTCTGCCACACTGCTGGCATAGCCGCCCCTGCCTGGCGCTTCGGACAACCGGATCGATCTACCTTGGGACCTACATGCACCAGCTGCATCCACAGCTTATTTTTTCAACTGCTCTCATTTTCGATGGGTCAGAAACAGCCCTCAAAAGATCGGAGCATGAGCTTTGCTGTACTTTCAGATTGGAGCTTCGGACTTCCCAATGCAGACGTAAACATCTTCAGATGCAGACTGCAGAGGACAGGATTTTGTGGGAAGAAGCCAAACGGGCCAGTGCCACGAAAGGAGCCATGCACTGCGCCACAGTGGCGCCGTGCATCGCTGGCCGCAGTGCACCTTCGAGCGGCTCGGGCTCACACTGGGCTGGGCGATTTTCTAGGCCCTCTGCCTGCCATCCCAGGCATCGGCGGAGCCGGCACCGACGTGATGGGCCTCAGCGAGGGCGAGCCAGCAATTGCATCGTCAGGACGCAAATGTCAGATTAGGGTTACAGGGGGTGTTCACCGGCATGTGCACGCGTGGAACAACTTAGCAGCGAGCCGCAACGCTGCAGCGGCGGCCTGCGCGACCGGAGGCTGCACACCAGGCAGCTCCTGGGTCATCCTGAGCGCTCGGAGGGAGAGGGTGTCACCTCCGAGTGGATCCGCAACAGGCAACTTCTGCTCTCCGAGAATCGTGATGGCTTTCACCTCCTCGGCCTGAAGGGCTGACGCACAGGAGAGGAGCGGAGAAAGTTAGTATAGAAAACAGACTGCCACGTAAATCCGTCAAATGTGTTCTGCGGTTTCAGTATCACTCCACAAAGCTTAATTTACATTTTCTGCTTTCATATGCGCTGTCTCCAGGCTGAAAATTCTACAATTCGTAGCTCATACATACCCCGCGTCTAATTCGCTTGAGCATTGACAAACAAATTGAATGCCGACTTCCCTGCCATGGTCAACGTGATTTTAAATTTGTGCCCGCTTGAAACACTGAATGTTGCAAATCCAGGCGCATGTCTGTTTCAAGTATCACTTGCATGTATCCACGTTGCTCAAAAATGTTCCAGCAAAATACGATCTACAGCTGCGCGCCTAAAGCAAGAGAGACTCCTGCATTACCTGTGTACGCTTTCTGCGCGATGATACAAGCGCAGGTTGGCGGGGGCTGGCGTTCGCAGGGTGCTGGGGCTGGGGCGTTGGAGCTGGAGATGGAGGGTGGGGTGCTGCGGGGGGCGGTCAGGGACAACTTTTGAACTGAAAATCTTAAGCGAAACTCTGAGCCTTAAAACCCCACAGCCACCCCACGGGGGAAGAGGGACCCAACACCCCACACCCCACACCACAGGGGGGGAGGCCATCATGGGTGGGGGGGTGGGGGGGCAGGCGGAGCGCGTGACCAGATTTGTCTGTGCATACACATGAATTTGCACGATAACTGGATCTAGGGGTTGGCTGCGTCCCGGCAGTTACTTTCATTGCACAAACGAAGCGTGCCAGAGAATTTGCACAAGCCCTACACTGCTAGACTGCGCGGCTGCAAATTAAGATTCGGGATCCCGACACAAAGGGTTTAGGGCTCTCAAGTTTTTCAGCGTGCTCGTCCTTGATGCAAGATGCTCTTATGACGGGAACTGAGGTAACTGTTTTTTTTCAGTTAGGGTTTTCCTGCGCAGCGGCAAAGATGGTCAACATCTACGCATCATGGCATCATGAGCACAAGAACGGCATCGAAATCCAAGGCATTCGAAACTTCATCCCAAGTTGCGAAGGCTGTGTGCATCTCAGCGATCGATAGCAAAGACCTACAATTGATAGACTCGACAGGAGACAAGGGCACAAGGGCACAGGGGCGCAAGGGCACCGGGCAGTTCCCAACCCGAAAGAAAAGCGCTCCAAAACGCGTGGTGGTAATCGCCTTTGGCTGTGTTACCAACCCGAAAACACTATCTTCCGAAAACGAACGAGGAAATGGCCTTTGGCATGCTCCCAACCCGAAGACGATACATTCCAAAAAGATCGGCATAACCGTTTTTGGATGTGTTACCAACCCGAAAAACGCATTCCAAAAAACCATCGGCGCCTCGGGGCAATCGCCTTTGGCTGTTCCCAACCCGAACACAATACCTTCCAACCAAGATCGGGCTTATCGGCTCTGGCTGTGTTGCCAACCCGAAAACAGTACATTCCAAAGCAGATCGGATGATCGGTGCATTCGCCTTTGGCTGTGTTACCAACCCGCGAACAATATGTTCCAAAAAAGATCGAGGCAATCGCCTTTGGCTGAGTTCCCAACCCGACAACAATGCAGTCCGAACAAAAATTACCAACCCGTCAAACCTAAAAATACAACAATGCATTCCGAAACAGATCGGGGCATTCGCCTGTCTGAAAACAATACAATCCAAAACAGATCGGGGTAATCCCCTTCGGCTGTGTTACCAAGAAAGATCGGGGTAATCACCTTTGGCTGTGCTACCAACTGGACAAGTTTGTGCGTGGAAGTAGGTATGCAGTAGGCATACACATGTAAACATGCATGAATCTGTTGCATGGCCGCGGACGTATAAGTCTATGTACCAGGGTGCATCACACATCAGCCGCCAGAATAGACATCAGCCCAGTGTGTACGCTTCACGGGCCTTGTAGCAGTACTAGCTCACCAAATTGTAAGACATTCAATCTCTGTTTACAAGGTGCAAGCATGATTTGCGGACCCCGTTCGGGGCCTCAGCATCCAGCGATGTCAACGACAATTCGCGTCCGAAGAGGCTGCAGGAGGCGCGGACGGGCGATCGTCACAGATGGTGCTGACGACCCGTGACGGTGAACCCGGTCTTCAAAAAATCTCGCCGAGCTAATCCACAGCATGGCCACCCACATGACATGTGCGGGCGCCTCCTGCGCAGAGAGGATGCCCCGATCCACCCAGAGCTGCACGAGACGGAGCACCCTGCAGAGCTTTGCAAGGAGTTTGGGTCAGTTTGTACGAAGAGGCAGAAGTTTGAGCCTTTAGGCTTGAAACAAGCAGGTCTTTGGACGAGGCTTGACAGCTGCTTGTTCTCTCCGTGGACAAGCTAACAAGTTGCTTCTGTTGCTGATGCCTGCAATGTCTTTGGATCTTTGGGGAGTAGGAACTGGAATGATACCAACGAGAGCAGAAGTTGACTTAATGCTCTGCCCCGGCCATCCAAGGCCTCGAAGTTTCGTCTCCTTGCGGCGACTGCAGCGCCTTCCGGATTGGGATTCGGAGGCGCTCTACGCGGCACCGAGAGGGTGGGGTCGGGCCAGCTGGTAGCATGGACGCAGGATCCACGGCAAGTAGGGCCTGAGACAGCCAGCTTCGATCTCTCATTGCATCGATCGGATCGGGTTCATGCAAGTTCCCTGCTTGAATGCCCGGACCAAAGGAGCATGGGCGTCCTCTCAAGAAGGAAGAAGTGTTTGAGGGCTGCCGCTGTGAAAGGCGCTCCTTGCGGGCGGCTTCTGTCTGCAGAAGGTCGTGCACGAGGTACAACACGTGCAACCTCCCCAGCCGTGTGAGGAAGCGATTGCAACAAACCAACTACATCTTCGCCGCCACATGCGCCTGTGAGCACAGGTGGACAGGAAAGACACGCGGACCATGATGTGCCCGGCAATGTGCGGTGCTAAAGCCTACAGCGGACACAGCATGCACAGAACGGATTGCGGCAAGCATCCCTGAGGGCTCTGGCACTGTTGCATTCGATCCAAAGCCGGCCGCTCTTGATGGCATCCCGGGAGGCCATGTGCCTTCAAGCAAGGGTATCAATAAATGAGTAGAGCCAGTGACAGAATCAAGAGACGAGGCGAGATCAGCCGAGCAGCTCAAGGGAGGCCAGGACTCCGTGAAGCTGCCGCTCGACCTGTTTTCCATTCTCTTAGGCTCCACACTAGTTCCATTTTGGGGTTCATATTTAGAATCCTATAAGGTAATCCCAAAAAGGAACTACTATGGAGCCTGTGGGTGAAGCCTATAAACCCTAAACCCTAAAGCCCAAAAGAGGCGGTCATCCCTCCCATCTCGCACCTCGGGGGTCAGCGCCAGCACCTGTGGCTCCTTCCATCGCCGTAGGACGTCCTCGGCGTGCGGAAACAAGAAGCTGGAGCCAAAGGCGGAGACGACCGAGATCGGTGCGGCCAGCTCGACGGGCGGGGCTCCCTGAACCTGCCGAGCACCCCGGACGAAACTAAATCTGCAACCTCTGCCTTCGCAAGCAAGGAAAATAAAAAGAGAGAGAGAGAGATGGAGGGAGCACTTGCACACGCCGCACCTGCCCTCCTCGAAGAAGCGTCGCCAGGCTGCCCGCTGTTGGCGCACTCGGAGCGCTCAGCTGCGCTCCCATTCCAGCCATTGACATGTGCGCAGTCTGCTGCACGGGCGCCGGCGGCGCCGGCGGCGCGGGCGGAGGCTGCGGATTCGTCGGCGCAAGCATCGGCGCAGTCGGTGCCGCCGGGGGCGCGGGCGGCGCCGCTGCCGGCACCTGCTCTGACTGTAGGACTCCGTGGAAGTGCGTAGGGCGTGCCATACTCGTGCCATGTCTCTATCACAGAAGCTCGTCCGCCTGTGTCCCTCGGTGCCGGGCGAGGACCTTCCGATCCGAGTGCAGCGCAATGTGCGGCTTAGGACATGCCCTGCCAGCACCTGCTGGTAGTACTCAGCGCCCTCGCCGCTGTACAAGAACGAGAACCTGCCAGAGCAGCAGTATGCAATCGTGATAAGCCCGGCAATCCATCCAAGGAGAATCCGGTCAGGGTGGCTGCGGATTGCTCGCGTTTTTCTGCTTGACCGTTGTCTCGAAGTCAGAGCCGTTCCTGAAACAGAGGAGCAAGCAATTGCGCGTGTTCTGCAAACTGCCAGCTAAGGGGCGACTTGCCTTGCGATGTGATCCGCCATGATCTCGATCCTCTTCCTGGCGCATCTTCGCATGCGCGACAGTGGTGCTCGAGCCTCTGGGGAACTCTAATTATCCAATACATGCATGTACTCGCGCATGTCTTCACCATCTCCCGAGTATTGGGGCGTGCATGACTCGTCCATCCTACGACTCTGAAGGCAATCGAAAGGCGATTTCCCGAAGCCCTGGCGGAGCATTGCAAAGCCCTCGCGTCGGTGTCCCCGCCTCAAATCCGGCGCCAGCATCGCGCCCAGATCCGCCATGGCGACAACCCGAGCAGAGCAGCAGAGCACAGGCCCCAGCCGAGGCAGCCTTCTACATAGGTGGCTTTGGCCGCGGCTCTTGGAAGAACCCTCTTCAGGCGAGAACGTCGTGTATCAAACAGAGTGAGTTACTGCGCATTGCAGGCACCTGTGCAGTGTAGTTGAGCCGTATGACATGGATGCTTTGTGCTCACACTCGAAATCTGCGAATCCTAAACGCTGCATGCCCCCTCAATCCACAACTCCGCAAATTCGCTGCTCTGCTTGAGGACATTGAAACATGGCTGAACGGACAGCGAAACATTGTCAGCTCGGAATGTGTGCTTGATAAGAGCACATTCAGCATCATGAAGATCATCATCATCAACGCTTCTTCCTGGCCATGGCTGAGTCGCATTCTTAACAGCCAACCAGAATAGCAGCAGAATAAATGCTTCAGGTTGCCAGATCATCTCCCGCATACCCACATCCCCCACGCCCCATCCCCACCCACCCATCCGGCAAGAACCGTGCTACTCAGGTGGTTGGTAAGGAAGACTGCTGTTACTACTTCCCCATGCTGTGTCATCAATCTGCTGTTCCCCGGCATCAGCACGATGGTTCAGACTCAGGAAGACCTAGAGAAGAATTTGAGAAGGCCCCTATGAAAAGTGTCCCAGTACGTTCAAACACTTCCAACTGCCTTGCTTGCACATCTCTTCACTGACCAGATTCTCGGCCGGGTGCACAAGCGGTTTCACGTCAAACATGTACCTGCCGTCCCATCCCCCGACTTATGTGGGACTTTCAAGGGCCTGAAAAAGGACTTCAATAGTTGAGGCTGGACTTTGCCCTTTGTTCTCGATTCACTTTGAACCCCTTTCCCTGCAAAGCAACATAGACGACGTAGCCATGCCTCTGACCCCGCGCCCAATAGAAGGGGGGCGCTGCTAGAGGAAGCAACGTGGAGTCGACTCACAACACGTCCTTAGAGTGACGCCAGATTCTGAACAGACTCGCCAAGAACACAAGCGTGTTGGATAGCCAGGTGTGGATTTTCAGGGCAGTTGCTAGTTCAGACTGTGTTCGAAGGTGATCTCCGACTAGGATAGCACAAGCAGCTGGACCAAGCATTTAGCCTTCGAAAAGTAGCCCACCATGGATGTGTTGGTTGGGGATGTTGGTGCCCTGATGAGCCCTTACAGCAACTGGTTGAGGCTTCACAAGAAGCGCTCTAGATCGCAAGCTGGAACTCCATTGCCTAAACCCATGAAATGACAACGCTCCGCGCGTCTTTTTACGGGTCGCCGATAAGGCCAAAGTGCTCTGCCATGTGCGTCAACGCGTTGTTCACGCCAAGTCGACGGAGGCGCTGAAGGGCAGGAACCCAGTCACGTCGGCGTGGGCGGGTGAAGATCGCCTCGACCGCCTCATCAATTGTCGCTTCGATTTCCAGAAAACGAGCAGCAGGAAGCAGCAACTCACGCGAAAGGCACAGGTGCTGTGCCCGTGCATGCAGCGCTCGAACGTCGCACGTCCGCTCCTCATGGACCGCCAACGACAGTTCTTCCAAAAGCAATTTCTTATCCAGAATGACGTGGGCATCGTGTAGGTCAACGGGGCTCAACCCTGCTGCAGTTGCGCGGTTTATCGCGACGATCAAGGTTTCCGACTTGACAGCCGGGTCCAAATCTGAGCACAGGATCAAGTCGTTCCGCGCCTCCGACTGCAAGCGCCTGCGCCTGTCCTTCACTATCGAAGCTGCATCTGTAGCAAGCTCGAGAATGAGGTTTGGAGCCTCAACGCCAAGACTGGCAGCTCTTGTTGACGCGCTGGCCATTCGCTCTGGGTCGCGGCTTCGTCGGGCAGACTTAAGCTCTTGAAAGGCTTCTGCTTTTGCAGTCTCTTTTGCGAGCTGATCTCTTGCTGCTTCGGTCATCTTGCTCGGCAGCCCGCAGGCCTCCGCTTGAGCGATGGCATCTGCAAGGTCGGACACTTTCTGGCTAAGCAATGCTCGCTTCAAACTTGCGATGCTGCTGACTTGGCGCTTCGCTTCCTCCAAAACAGGGTTCTGCGCATCAAGCACTTTTTCGGCCAACTGGACAGAATTCTCAAGCTGACTGCTGCTTCGGGCGCCCATTGCCGCAATCAGCTGCGCAAGTGCAAACTTCCCCGCCAATTGGGAGACGACTTGCTCGTGCTCGACCAGCCGTTCATCTTCGGCAGTGGCATCGCGCAGGTCTTGTGCCTCATAATACTCAGTCTCCACCATCTGTAATTGGCGTGCTTTTGCCGGCGTCGTGTGCACCTGATAGGGGTTGTCAATTGTAGAACTTAGCGCTAGCTGCCGCTAGCTATAGCTCTTACCACATGTCCCCGGGTATGTCTAGCAGTGACTTGAGTGTGCGCCAACCATTCGTCGAGCACGCTTCTATGTCGTTGCTTTGCGTTTGCTTAACTAGGGCGGCGGAGGCTGTGCTTTTGCTACGTGATGTGGCTGTGGCAATTCCTGGCGGCTGTTCCTGCTATTTGTCGTGGCCAGGATACACTGGGGACGGGAGCTCACTGACACTGGGGTCAAACGAACTACTGCCTATCACGAACCCGGTAGTGCTGGGACCGAAGGAAATCAGGAACACACTCTGAATCGAAACTCGAGCAGAACAAACTTGTGGCTGGGCCCTATGGCTATGCACCTTGTTCAAAAGCTGCAAAGTGCAGCACTGCTGAGATGGGCTCAGCATAGCAAATTGGGTTACCAGACCTGGCGGAGTGCAGCGAGCGGAGGGGCACCATTCCAAAAAACACTCAGGGTGAAGCCAACCCTGCTCGCGGTCTACCCCGCATCGCAAGCTCCATATTCTACGATCGCAATGGGCGCAGAACGTCCTCTCAATCTTGCCATCGAAGTGCTCGCAAGAATACCCATCACTTTGCAACATGGTGGCTCCAGCGGAGCTGATCGCCTCAGACTCGGGCTTTGCGGGCTCCATGATTTCTCGCTTATCGGAATCCTTGTCGCAAGCCGTGCTCGTGCCCTGGATTCTTGGTCTCTTGGAAACCTCGGAGCTGGCCACATCCTCTGGTGCCCTCTTGCCCACAACTCGTCTCCCGGGCCTGCCACGCGTGCTTCTAACTTGTTCAGGACCGCTATGAATGCTCGGATCCGCCATGGCGACAACTCGGGCAGAAGTAAATCCTGAAGCGAAAGCTCTTGACACATTTGTTGTAACGGAACAAACTAAATTGAGAAGCACAAGGCTCACAATTCCTGATCCTTGGTCACAAAGCCTTAAAACGAGCAGACCAGAAGCCCCAGCCGACTGCGACGACTTCTGACTGCGTGACTGGCCGATTCGGCGCTGGGCTTTCTCAAGGCAAACCGTCTCTTCAGTGCTGTCGGCTGCATCCTTTTGGCCGATGGCGAGTGTCAGTCTGTCAGAGCTTCCGTGCTGTCGGGCAAGAGCTTGGCAGTGATGTGACCTTTGCTCGTGTCCACCTGGCATCTTGAAGGGAAGAGCGCTTCGGAAAGGTTGCGGTGAATTGTGCCAGGCCTTTGTCACCTCGACTCTGACAGTCGTGCCTTCCGGGAGCCTCGCTAAGAGCGGGAACAGAACTCGGCGCTTCTTCGTCTCGCCAGGGCTGCCGCGTGCGCTCCATGGTCCGCGACCTGATGCGGAACGGGCAGAGAGCTGACGCAGCGGCTTGGGGGAATCGGGAAGTTGTTTTTGTCGGCACCTATTTTTGTTCCTTCGATTTATGCGGCGGGCGGCGTCAAAGCTACAGGCCCATCTTCATCTTCACGTCTCATCTCTGGGGCTGCATAGAAACATCCTCCACATCTGAACACCTCTCACATTCGCCGCAGCCCCAGCGGAAACTGGACGGGAAATCAGCAGGGAACCGTCGGCAAGCCCTTCGTGGAACAATCCTGGACCCCCTAGGCTCTGCTGATTTCGTGACAGCATGAATTCCACAATGACAATGTTGCTTAAGCTTCAAATGTTTGAAAGAGGGCCTCGGGCAAATATTTACAATGACATCAGCGCTCCTTGTCTGCCCTGGTACATACCAATCGAAAGCGATGCGACGACTGCTGCTCTTTTGCACACACGTCCCTTCTAGGATGACTCCTCGTCTAAGCCAAAAGTATGTCTTTCTTCGTGCGATCGTCTTTCCTGGCATGTTTGGCGGTGGCACCGCCGGAAATAGAAAGCTGCATTTCTGTCACAGACCTCTCGTTCAGGCTGCGGGAACCGGAAACTCTTGAAAGGGGTCACTCTGTGCAAACAGTCCAAAGATGCATGGAGCATGTACTTCACCTCTGCCTATGTGCAGCTGCGAATTCCCATGCCAATTGGAGCCTTCGTGGTCCCGACGGGGTCCCCGGAGTTTTTGGAAGCTTCTGCTCAGCTCTGGAAAGACGGAAAGATGGCTTCTCTCGCTCTGCCTTGGTGTAGGTCATGGGACTTCCTTCTGCAGGGGCCTTCGTCGGCGTGAAGTGCCGAGGAGCCAGGGGGGTGCGACGAGAGCCTTCGGTTCTGGGACGTGTCCATATGCAGGCGATGAGTGCGTCGTCGACGGCAGGGAGTCCAGCTGTTCACACTCGTCGGCTGTGCTGCCAGCATCGGAGTCGCACATGTCTTCCCAGCTTTCTTGCACCTGCGCAGGGAGTCCCCCTCATTCCCGGCAGAACGGCCCGAACCACAGACCACTCAAACTACAGAATACATAAACTGACTCTGGGCTCTTTCCGAGGTGCGGTCCAGTCGGTTGCTTTGACCTTTGGAACTTCGACTGGAACTTCGATGCACTCTTTGATGTTGGGTGGTGCTCCCACCTGGTATACAGGAACCGGGGGGGAAGTGAGGGGGAAGTGAGAAGCCCTGACCGCCCTGCACCTTGAATTCCCAGACGGCGTCTCCATCGCCTCAGGCCGGAAGCACTTGACAAGGAAGCACAGCTTGTGAGCTCCGAGCTCCGTGCGATCTTTGGGCACGGCGAAGAAGTCCAGCTCGAGCTCGGCCGAAGGTGGAGGCGCCCAGGCATCCCAGGCCGCCCAGGCCCAGTTGTCATCGGTTTCGGGCTCCACTTCGGGTTCCGGAGCAGCCACAAGGGGCACGTGCGGGCCCGCTTGCAGCTTCTTTCGCGTCCGTTGCGCTGAGGCCTGGTGAATCACCGGCTTCTGCTCCTTCTTCTCCTTCTTGGCCTTCTTCGCCGCCTTCCCCTTCGTCTTGGGGCAAAGCTCCTCCCAGGACTCCACCACGCCGCCAATCATGACTGCTGAAAGCCACTGAACCGAAACACCGCTAGCCGGAAAAAGCTGAGGTTGCACCAAGCTCTGTCACCAAAGGAGCACGGAGCAAAGCACAAGAAACTCACAGGAGAGGCCGAGCCGCACGCTTTGCTCCCTCTGTCCAGCCTTCGAAATCGTTTCGTGGGACCAGCGCCTGGGAGCTTGAGACTCGGGACACAGGGCAACAAAGGCCCGACCGTCACCGGGGCCGACGCCGACGTCACGGCGCCAACATCCACAAAGGCGCCGATGTGCTTGTTCACGTGCACCACCTGAAGACGAAGACGGAAGCATGAGATTCAGAGACCTGGCCGCAGCGGGCGCCTTCGCGTCGCAGGCCAGCCCTGGCCTCCGCATCGGCGTGCGCATCACAGGCACATGGGCACTACATCGGCGTCACGCCGCCACGTCAACGTCAACGCCGAGGCGCTGCAGCTCCGAGAGGCGCGTGCGGTTGGCGAAGACGTCCTGCGATGCGATCGGCCCAGGAGCCGGGCTCCCCCAAAGCCACAGCTTGGCAAAGCTCTGCCTGCATCGTCAGCACGGGACGATCTTGCCTGCAGTGCTGCAGTGCCAGTGCACACGTGCGACGTTTCGAGCATCTTGTTTGAAGCCCCTGAGAATATTTGGGGACCGGGCTTGAGCTGCTTCACGAAACACTTCACAACGTCGCCGACCTTGACCACCTGCGCTTGGACAGGCAAATGCGCCAAATACACTTCGAAGATCTTCTAGACCTGGCACAACCCTTTCGGGCTGAGCAAAAACAATTCTCTCAAAGCAAACAATTCTCTCAAAGCCACTTCTGAACCCATTCGCATCAACAGATCACTGTACGCCACAAGCGGCCGCTGGCATATACCCGACAGAGCATTCCGTGAAATCCGACATAGGGCAAACGATTTTTCCCATGAAGCTTGCTTCAGCCGTGCTGTGCATCTGATGATGTTGACTTGTGACAAGTCGCAGTGCAAAGGCAACTTGCGAACTGTCTGCTTAGCGGCTAGCGGTCACGCGATCGACGGCACGCCTCCCTGGCATGCCGGATGCGCAGCGTGGTCAGGTCGGACTTGTGCATCCTATCAGGCACATGGCGGAACCAAGCCAAAGCCACCACTACGCAAGACTCAAAAGGACTCGAGACCCTCTCTCGCTGGTCCTACCGCGCAGACCGGCGCCCTCGACGTCTGCATCCACCTCAAAGAAACCGCAGAGAAGTCCCGCTCCCGGCGGGGTGCGGCGCTCCCGGGCTCCCCATGGCTCCCCCGGCCCAGGTCTCGCCGACGGAGACCACGGTGGCGGTGACCGCGTCGCCGATCTGCGCCCAGCTCCCCGCAGCTCCCAAGAGGCTTAGAGGCTGAGAGGCTTAGAAGCCACGTCTGGAAGAGACATCAACGAGAGTTCTGGAAAAGGATGGAGCAATGGATTCAAGATCAAGAACTCTCTTCTGCTTGTACATCTATTCTCATTTCAGAACAAGCGAGCATCGTCTTGACAAGCACCGTTGCGTGAGACCGCGCTGACGCCAGACCTCCAGGCCGTTCACAGGAGCGGCTGCGACGGCTGAGAGCCTGCACGGCTCAGCACTGCGCTCCGGACCTCACGAATGGCCCCTGCCGCGCCGCGCCTGAGCCGCTGCCCACGCGGTTTGGCGCCGCACAGCTGGAAGGCCACCTTCCACGGTGCACAGAGATGCACTCGGAGCACTCGGAGCACTCGCAACGACGAGAGTTGAGCCGCCGTCCTGGCTGCATAGGAAGCAGAGGGCCGTCAAGAGGACGGGCCTCAACGGACTTCCGGCGGGTTCCGCATGGTTCCGCAGCCGCAGACCCCAGCCCCGCAGCCCCGGGGCCTGAATCTGAGGGAGCGCTGGCAGGTGCAGCTTCTCCGACAAGTTTGGCCATCCTTCGAACGCCACAAGCAGGAGACGTCGGCGCAGAGGTTTTCTGAGGCTGGCGCCGGATCACTTTGAAACATGGTCCCACTTTGGGTACCAACTACACCCAGGCTGAAGCTTCAGACCCGAGTCTTTCAGAAGTGTCTTGTCAAGCGTTCCCTCGACTTGATGTGCTGAGTGCGGATGTGGAGGCCAGACTCCTATACGCGTACATCGCGTACACTTCAGTACAGTAGAAGTCTCTTCTTATCGGTTTGGAGAAGCTTCAGCCGTCGACAACTCGGCTCGCGCTCAGAGCCTCGCAGCTCCATTTCACAGAGCTCCAAACCCCCGCTTCACCCCTCAAAAGGGCGGCCTTTTCGACCCTGCCGCGACGCAACTTACGCAACGAGGCGCCCTCTTTTTGCCAGAAGCCTGACTCTCCAAAGGTGAGGCAGGGACGGGACGGGGATGGGTATGCGCTCTTTGTGGGTAGCAAATTGCAAGGACGTAGTAAAGCAGTTTGGGGTTGAGGTTCATGCGTACACTGCATGAGTTCTCCTTAGTTTCGGGGCTCGACCCGCACAATGTTGGAGATGCCAAGAGTTCCTCTTGGCCCTCCGGTGCATTTCCGCGAAGAAACAAATCATAGCTCACTGCGTCAAGTGAGGTTGAAAGCTAAGAAAAATCGAGCAGTTCCACCAACACAGGTCAGATCAGTGTTTTGTTAAATATGCATCTTAGGGCTGTGAATTTGAAAGAGCTTCTACAACCGGCTTTTCGAGCCCTAAAAAACGCGGGAAAGCTCGTCTGCAGCCTTGGTGTCATCTCGACCAGACAGGTCATCCCCGTAAAGTTGGACCCGGCAGCCCGGAAGCGCTGCCGCTGCTTCTGCGGCTTTGGACAGATGGGTTCAAGCAGGTTCACGACCTGTGACGATGCAAGATCTGACAACGGTGATGATCGCCCTTTGCCTCACTTCTGCATACTTCCCTCGTCTGGCCTCACCCCTCTGCTTCCACATTTACCCCCTGTCAGAGTGGGTGTTCGGCATTACTCTCGCCTTCTAGCTGACGCAGGTTCTAATGTGGCCATGCATGATGAAACGACAACGTGCCCCAAGACTGTACTCGTCTGCAACCCACCAGAACACGAATGATGAGGAGAGTTCCTTCTGTTTGCTCCAAAGGCCCCTCTGTTGATTATTAGAGTTTCAACACAAGTGACCTTTACACGAGCTGCCGAGGTCGGAGACCTGTCAGCGGGTGATAGGCGGCAATCCTCGGCCATGCCTACGACCTACTGGCATAAGACTGCATCGAGTTTGCACATATCTGTGGCACATTTCTCCCAAGGTCATAGAGCTTAATTGCTGCAAGTCTCGGTAGGCCAAGGCTCGCGCATCTTGCCTTCTAGGTACACAGTTCCAACTGCAGGGAGGAGCCGTTTGACACGAGACCTCCTCGGGAATTCAGAGTCAATGCCCTGCGTCCATATTCTTAGAGGACAGCTTCAACAGTGAAGATATCTGAACATGACTAAGACTTGGTTGGCCATTCCCGAGGCGATTTCGCAAGCGGAGCCGGCCGCTGGCGACCATCTGCTCATGATGTGAGTCCTGCATGCCCCCTCGACCTTCAGCACTTGCATACCCGAGCCCAGAGAAAGGGAGAAAGGAAAGTATACTCGCTCTTGAAGAAGATGTTGCAGGAATCATGTGATAGAGGTGCAGATCGGCGCCGTGAGCCGGCCAGAAGCTATCGACAAATTAGAGTTCACACTGACACAACAAAGTCATACAAAGCCCCGCACGTCTCTAATGTCCCTTGATGCAAGACACGATGGGAACTCCAGCGATCAAATGGCGAGTAGGTGGGTCTGATGGCAGCTCTTGAGACACAAGTTGCAGAGAACCAGTGCTGCAAATGCCGCCTAGTGCTTAGTGCTTCTCGCTGCAGATTGCTAAAGTAGTTAGCAGACTGCCTCGTCTCTCAAGCATGCTGCCAACGAATTCAAGCTGTAGGCGGTGGTAAGACCTTGAGAGTTCATGCGACACTCGAAAGCTTGAAAAACCTAAACTTGTCGAGGCTTCAGAGAGGGAGAGGAAGTCCTTCCAGACTTGCGTGTTTCCTCCTCCTATTCTCCATGGCCCGGGCGTGGTTTTGTCATCCGCTTGCGCGCTGCCAGCTGCCTCCACCTGCGAGGAACCGACCCGAACGCAGAGCCCAGCCGAGCTGAGTCCTTTATCAGAGGCAGTCAGGCGTGCTTCTGCTGTAGTGCGCTGTGAGGTGCTATAATGCGGCCGGTGAAGCCGCGCCTTTGCCGCCTTTGGCCTTGCCTTTGCCGTTGCCACCCTGCGGTTGGCAACACTGTTGGGCAACATGCAAAGTTGGCAGTTTTCCATGAATCCGGAGCCTTGCCCTTGGCTTGCCCTTTGCCACCACCTGCGTCGCAGGCTGATGGCACAAGCATGCACAGCTTCTTGAGGCGAGACAAGAGTCCCGCCTTGCTTGCCGGCTCCTTTTCGCTTCCGCCTCAGAGGTAGCGGAGCGTAGCACGCCGCACGCGCTCGAAGGATGTGGAGACGCCCCTGCAAACCGAGTTCCGCGCCTTTCCTCCTCTTCGTCACCCCACATCTCCTCGCCTCCCATGTTCGTGGAACCTCACATCAGCAGCGGCAAGAGCTCCCCGAACCCAAGCGCGAGGAAGCGCGGCTGGGCCGAGTGGGGCCCGGCGCGGCCTGTGGGGGTCGCCGGGATTTGGCCTTGAAAGCGGAGGCTCCTGAGCAGAGCTCTGAGATGCTAGTAACTGCCAGTAGCGCACACACACTCGCACACGTGACATGGACATGTCTGGCGCAGTCTCAGGAGCCGACAGCCAGTCGTCCATCTCGGGATCTCGGCCAACACCCTTCTTGTTCTTCTTGGGGCCTAGAGTCAACAAGTAAGAATTGTCACAGTCATTACGTTACGGTAAGAGTCTGAGACGGCTGGGAGTTGTATGAGCGGCTTTGGCTCGAACTCGGCTGCTGGCCCGGGCTTTGAGCGAGCATGGGGTTTGGAGCCCCCATGCCCCTACCCATGAGCGGCTGCTGGTAGCCGCCGCCGCCTGCAGCTCTTGGTCTTGCAATTGAGAAGAGCAACGGCAGGAGCCAAGCGCTTGCCGCGCCTTTGCTGTTGCTTTTCCCGCCCGGCGACATCGGGACCTGCTGCCTTCAGGAGCAGAAATTGAAAACAGGGAGAAAGAAGACAGAGAGACAGCTGGAGAGCGAGAGGAGTGCCGCCACCTATACGACTGCGACTGGGAGTTCCCTGTACTGGGAGTTCCCTGTACTCTAGGACCCTAGGATGGCTTTCATTCATTGAGCAGTTTCTGGCATGCGGCAGCGCTTGCTGCTTCATCACATCCTTGGGCTGCCAGCCGCCTCAGGGAATTCTGGATTCGGAAAGAAAGACGCTGAAGCCTGGAAGCTCCGAGCAGGCGCTTGAAGCTGCTGCGCGCCTCTTTGGCCCTTGCCCTGCGGCTCCGTCTTTTCGACCCACTTCTGCTGCGGCATGTCCTGACACTGGAGCCGCAACAGATCTGAATCCAGGGACAAGATGCTTAGCCTTCTGGGAAGGTCGGTCCTTGCCACCCTTTCCGCCTGGTTCAGCAACAGTCGTTCTCTGTCTCTGTGTGCTCCGACAGCCCCGGGCCCATGCATCCAAGCCTCCCATGTTGTCATCGTTGTGCTTCCCGCCATCCTTGCCGTCCTACTTATACAGAGTTGCGGAGTTCAAAAACCCAAGGGGCACAAGGGCTCGCCAATAACTTTGAAGACCGCAGTTGAGGCCTTCTTGCCCTTGCCTTTGCTTGGACCGTTGAAGTTTCCAGCCTAAGAAGCAAGAGCTGGCTGACTGGTTGACGAACACGACTGCAAAGTGAAGGCTGGAAGGCCAGCCTTCTGATTCGTATCCATGGCGGGCATCTGGCCGGACCTTCGCTGCGATTAGGCGCAGGTGCCATGGACGCTGCATCATTGCAAGTCCCCAAGGCCTCATATTGATGTCCCACAGCTGATTCATCTCCTCATTGTGACGACCACATTCCCACCGGAAGCAGACCAAACCCCTCAGATGCCGTCCTGGTCCAAGCCCACGGAGTCCTGTAGCAAGGCCAAGAGCACTTCATCCGCGCCGCTGCGCATCGCTGGGCATGGTTCTGCGCTCCGCAGCGCCAAGATTTGAGCCTGGATGTCGGCCCAGGGGTTCTTCGGATTGCGGAGCTTGTTGCCCTTCTGGTTGCCATCCTGAGCAAGAAAGGCTCTCTCAACTCCTCCGCCCGCAGCTCGGATTGTTTCTTCCGCTTTGCAAAAGAGGCGGGGGTTGCGCCGCGCCTGCGGGTTTGGACCCCCAGCTTGGCCGCCTTTGCCTCAGAGAGAGCCGGAGAGACAAAGGGAGCGGGGGGGCTGCTTGCTTGCAAGGGGTCGCTACCGCTTTCGCCGCCGCTTCTTCCGGGGCCGCGTGGGGCGCGGCCGCTTGGGCCCGGGCCTTGCTCTCCGGGCACCAAAGCGGTTTGCGAAGCGCCGCCGCCGCCGGGCTCCTGTGCTCGCGCGGCGCTTCCCCGAACCCCCACAAAGAGGGGCGGCTACGCGGCGGCTCGCGCGCGCCTGGTGGTTCGGCTCAAAGGGCCTCCGCGGGAGAGCTTTACAAGTCGTAGAGGTGGAGAGAGAGAGACGGGCGGAGCGGAAGCGGAGCGGAAACGCCAGCTCTGGGCCATCTGCCGTGCGTCCGCGGAACGGCCCGCACCACGCCCTGCACCCTGCTGCCTGCAGGAGCAACTGAGACTTGGCAAGATGCCAGAAATGCACGGCACCCTCGATCTCAGCGCTCAATGCAAGTGGCTTCACATGGCTTAAAGACTAAGGATCACCACTGTCCCAGAGCGACGGCAGGCGCACCAGTTGGCTCCTTGCTTCGGCTGCGTGTTGCGGCCAAGGCCGGCGGCCACGCGACCTGGAAGGGTACCACCCACCAGGGGACCCGAGCCAAGAGACGAGTCTAGGCTCACACGCACCGTCAATCATCATCATCATCATCATCATCAGCCTGTCCTGTGTCCTGCTCCGAGATCCTCCCTCACGAAGCCGGTCTCAACCACCCGACAAAAGCTTCCGACCATCCTCAGCCTCAACCTAACCCTTCATATATGCCACATCAGGAGAGCACCTGCACATGACATATGTTGTGCGGACTTGGAGCAGATCTTCTCCTACGCCTTCGTAGACCGAAACCGCATGCATCCGGGGCCAGATGGGCAGCTTCTCTTGGGCACCCCGGCCTCCTTTGCCGTCCCCTGCGTCTTGAGCTGGACCTCGAGCCATGGCCCGAGACGCAAGGAAGACTCGGAGCCCAGAGAGAGAGAGCCTTGGCAGCCTCCTTTGCCCTGGTCCAGCGCCATCTGCGCGCACTGGCCTGGCCGAGACCAAACGGAGCGTTTGCTTCGAAGGCGGCCCGGCCGCCCGGCCTGGGGTCGGCTGGGCCATTGGGTGCCCGTCCGGGCCCACGTGTCCTGCCAAGCTCGAGATCCTTCTTGACCGCAGCACTCTGCGGCTTCCGTGTGTGGGCCTTGCATCTGCTGAGGAGGCATGCCGCCTTGCACGCCTCCCGACGACAGAAGAGGGGTGCTGATTCAGAGTGCACGGAGCTGGCCTTGCATCTGCTGCATCTGGCCCTGCATCTGTCCAGGCATGCCTCCAGAAAGAAGGCGCTTCAGAGCTGAAGCGTCGATGGGCGATGGGGTGGGTGTGCCAAACACAATGCTTGGCTCCGGTCCTTGCATGGCGTGCTGCATCTGCCCAGGAGCACCACCTCCATAGGCGCAGCGCAGGCGGCTCTTGAGACTGCGGCCTAAGGCCTGGCCTTGCCCTGGCACCATCACGAACTGCATGCCCGGATGACCCTGGCCAGGCCTTGCAGTGGTAGAGGCACTTCAGTGCGCCCGCGACACTAAAGATCTTTTCAGTTTCAGGGAGCAGGCTGTTGGCCGGCCATGTTCATCTGCCCGGGCATCATCATCTGGCATCTCTGGACTTTCTGAAGCGGCAAGGAAGGCTCTCTTCCCAATCCTGTGATTCATGCTCTCGGCTACTGGACCTGACAAACTTGCAGGGGGCACCCCTTGCATCCCAGGCATCGACACCACGTAGCCACCACAGTTACCAGCACATCCGCCAGCACAACCGCTGCAAGCGCCGCCGGCGGCAGGGCAGCCGCCACCACAGGCACTGCAGCCCTGGCAACATCCGCCTCATGCCAGTTCGTTCGGGATGGAAGCGAATGCATGAGGACGGATGCAGAGGCATGGATGTACAATGGATGCTCCTCTCCACTCGGCACAACGGTCGGTAGGCGGCTACCACTGACAATGGATGCCTCCATGTGTCGCTCCGGGATGGGTCGGACCCTCTCTACCATGCAGGCTTGGGGTTTAGCCGTGTGCTGGTTAGCATTTTCGTCACAAGTTCCAAACCGCTGCCACGAGCCAAACACAAGCTGAGCTCCAAGCCCCCTTGGCATGCGCCAGTCGGGCATCCGCCCTGGCAGGCGCCGCACTGCCCAGCAGCACACTGGGCAGCAGCAGCACACTGGCCACCGTTGCACTGCGCACCAGCAGCACAGTGCTGCTGGTACATCATCTGCACAGGGGCATGCGACTTCAGGCAGTGACGGGGACTCTGAAACGGCCGGCCTGCTGGGCTTGCGCATGTTGAGGGTTTTGTTGGGAGCCATCCATAGCGTAGGGCATGACCATGGGAGTGCCATCAGGAGCCATCTGCATGCCCATGTGTTGTTGCATGTAGCCCTGTTGTGCCGGGTGCATGCCGTGGGCATGGCCATGAGCTTGTACCTCTTGGCCTTGACCCATGGCGTGGCCCTGCATTCCATAAGCCATGGCGGCATGATTTGGCGCCTGGCCTGGGGCGGTCATGCCCTGTGGGTACATAGCCATCTGGTTCGCGTTCTGCAGCATCTCTGGGGAAAAATGGCCAGCCTCCATCCCAAAGCTTCAACTTTGCCTCAGATCTCGTCTTCGCTGCGGGAGCTCGAGCTCCTCTCCACGCGGACAACAGCCAATCGATCGCTTGAGGATTCCCTCACTTTAACCCGACTGCGTGTCTTTGTGTGGCTATGTGTATGTTTGCATGTGCATGTGAGTGTGTGTGAGTGTGTGGATGTGGATGTATGAGTGCTGTGGCAGTGGGCTAGTTGTGCTGCAACTTGAGGTGCATCTATGCTCGTCGCGTCGTTACTGTCCCCGGTACTGGCTTATGATGGATTGTTCGATTTGAGCTGTACATGTAGAGCCAATAATTGAAATCTTTCAGCATGTTGCTTGAGCATCACAGGCTGCCAAGGTTGCGGCACGGAACATGACAACCGGTCACAAGCACACAGAGCTGTTTCACAAGCAAACACATGTAGGATTGTTTTTGGCAGATCTTCTGCCGTCCGGGTTGGGCCACTCTGCGCGCTGCGCCACAAGGTTCGGAGTCTACACTTGGGAGCTGCAGCCCACCTGGCACTTGTTTTGTCCGCGGGTCGGGGCCCGTGCGGGGTTGCCCTGTGCACCTGCAGATGTTTGGGAACAGTGTTCTGGGGAATCGACGTTTGGTTTGCCACAAGCCCTCAGCCACGATTACGGCAGCCATGTCAAAGACGGCATGTGCTTCAGAGACTCATATATTCTGGTCAATGCGAAACAGACCAAGGTGTAAAGGCTGCAGAATTGATCTTGGACTAAAGATGATACTCACAACCTCTGCCTTGGGACGCTGTTGATGTAACAGCGACATAAACCTCCTGCAGCAAGAAGCGGACAACGAGCAGAGCAACTTAAATGAATCTGAATGTTGGAGATGTCTGAAGATGCGGCATGAACAGCGACCCGGCAAGACCATTGCAGGCCATGCACAAGGCTCGGCAATCCACGAAAAAGAAAAGCTTCACAGGGGCTGGCAGCTTCTTCGACGTGCAAAGACATGCTCACATTTTGCTGGCATCCGGGTTGTGCCGCTTTGTGCATCGTCCCCCTGTCTTCTGCCAGGCTCTGTTCGGAGCTGCACCGGTTTACACTTGGGAGCCGGAGCCCGAGCCCATCTGGTTGTAGCTGTCCTGCACTCGGTCGGGGGGGCTCATCACAAGATGGATCAAGGCTGTTTGGGGCCTCCCGCCTTGCAACAGAGAGGGGCGCACCAGTCCCTGGCCAGCATCAACATGGCCAGGACGCAGAGGGCGATCCTGGGCCAGGCCGGCATGTTATCTCGCAACCAAGTGGGGCCCGCTTGGTGGGGTTCGGGCCCGATGATCCGGTTGAAGAAGTCCAGGATGCCGCCCGGAAGTAACTCGGTGAGAGCAGGGGCAGCAGGGGAGGGGGAGCGGGCTGGCGCTGGCTGGCGCTGGCGGGAGCACACGCTCTAAGCGAGCCCAGTCCCGGGCCAGGAGCGTCATGGTGCCCACGTACAAGTAGAAGAAGGACCGCCCAGTCTCCGGCAACACTCCAGCTTTGCTCACACGCGGTCTGCTGGGCCTCCCTGCGAAAACACGCCTGGCTGGCCAAGAAGTAAGCCTTGCGGAAGAGGGCGCCCTCAGGAAAAACGGCGCCGGATGCCAGGAGATCAGAGCCGAGGCGAGGGCTCCCGCGCCGCGGGACTTTTGGGTCCCTGGGTCCCTGACTTGTAGATCGCCACAAGCTCTCAGCCAGGACTCCTGCAGCGATGGACTCGGCAACTGCAAGGAGACCCAAAACCCAAGGGCCTTGCCGTCGCAGACACAGATAATCACCCCGAAGAAGACATTGTACAGATTGCACAACTGGTCCTGAACCAAAAGGCGACCCCCCAACAAGCATCTCGGCTCTGCTCACTCTTCACAAGCGATGGAAGTAAGACGCCAGCGATACCCGTAGCGTGGAACTCATGACAAGAAAGGTGTGCCTTTGGGATGATGTTGATGTCAAAGGGATTGAAAAGACCCTGCGCCCAGCAGAAATAGCTGGAAGAATAAACTACAGAGAGAGAGAGAGACAGACAAACACAGAGAGAGAGAGAGAGGGACGTCGTGCACAAACTGAGAAGGCTTTGCAGCACAAGGATCTGCGGTGCTGTTGCCACCTGCACCTTTCGAACAGAAACTTGGCCCTTCCCCCATCTACACCGGGCCCCCAGCCAGGAGGCTGAAAGCGATCAGCGCCAAGCCCGAGCAGAAGCAGAGGATCTGCAATACGAGCATGTCATGAACCAACCCTTCCTTCTTCACTCTTCTCAACAGCTTCGGTTCGCACGGCCCTCCCACCTTCAGGCTGGTCGGGTTTTCCGAGATATAGGCCTGCAAAGCTTCAGGTTCATTATTCACAGATCCTGAGCTGACCCAGCCTGGACTTCGAAGAATCCTGTCCGTGCTCGGTCCGCTGCTGCACGTGCGCCTCGGGTGTCGGAGTGTTGGGTCCTTCTTCAGCTGCCGACACCGCTCCCATTCAAGCGGCCTTGTTGGGCTGCAGCCGTGGCCATTTGCCTAAAAACAAAGCGCCCACCGAAGAAGGTAGCTTCACAAATTCAGGGCGCCCTCATGGTGCCAATCTTCCAAATAAAAGCACTGAGCACATGTTTAACACACACACACACATCACCTCAGCTCATGCGAGCCCGAGACTGTCATTACCGACAAGATTCCAGCATGCGTTCCTAACCTGCTCTATAGATAACCCAAGCCACATTAAAAATGCGTGCACATCCGGGGAAGTTCTTGCACTAAAACGCCATCTCAAAGACGGAAGCACTGCCAGCTGCCGCCAGCTGCCAGCTTCCAACTCGACTTCTCACCGGTCATGTTCTTCAATCGTCGCTGCACCCCGCTTTCAACACTGAGGTCACTGATGTTGACAACCGCAGAGCAAAAGGCACGGTTGCTGCTTGTGAGTGCTGGAGGTGCTGCTGGCGAATGCCGTCGAGCAACTGAAGTTGCACATTTTACTGGTCGACGATGCGAGTCTTGTCGAGGTTGTCTGGGAAGTGGTGCCGCCGGCATTCAGGGTGCTTGTACGAAGTCACCGTCGTTGACACTGAGATGTGATGCTGCTTTCCTTTGTGCTTAGCTGCTGGTGGTGCCAGTGATGGCTGCAATGGCCACCAGCATGACTTGTCTTGGCCTCTTCCCGGAAAGAACTTCTTGAAGCAAAGACCGCAAAGACCACAGGTTCGAGCAAATTTGGCATGCACCTTTTCCTGCAATGTTAAGGGGACCGGCAATATTGACAGCAAACCTATGTGACTAATGCCATCCGCCCCCATTCCCCAGCTACTTGTGGCAAACAACCGCCACTCGACCTGGCTGCCCGAGCGGATCTTTCGAAGTTGCATGGACCCCGACGTCAGCAACGTACTGGGACTAGATAGGAGGTCATAGGAGGTGTAAGACCGGAACACATCCGCGAACATCTGATGCTTAACCAGTACTGAAATAGTTGGTCAGTACAGTGATACAAATGAAATAGATAACAAAAAATCAAACGACAAAAAGCTGTGTAAATCTGCGAACCAAGGACTCATTATTCGCTAGCTGTTGGAATGCCATAGACACAACGTAATTAATGCATGTTAGGCATCGTTACATACTGGTGAAGCGTTCATGAGATGAGTTCGACATTTTGTCCAATTGAAGAATATACACTGATTAAATTGAGTCCTGTGTTTAGGTTAACCAACGATATTGCGGCAGCAGCTCATCATGTCCTTATGATCGAACGTTCATGAACATGTGTTTGTTGTGTGAAGGCAAAACTACATGTTTGACGAGCACACACGGAAGGCTGATTTAAAGCTCTCAATTACGCAGGGCAGTGGGAATTAGACAGAACTGTATTAAAGATGTGTATCAGGTGTGTAAACTTGAAGCGCAGCCTGAACAACTTATGTATATATTACATGCTAAGCCCGTACCAGGCCAACATGAGACATTCAACTAACGGCAATCATTACATAACAAGCACACACTAGTCAGACACCAAAGGGGGCATCGACAAATGATAAGTTGGACGCTCAACACATCAAATATTCGTTGGCTTCGGTTGCGCGGTGAAGCTTCGACTACGTGTTCGTTAAACACATCGCTTACATGTCTTACAGTACAGCATCATGTCAATGTGGCAAGCAGTTTATAAAGCGAATGTAATACTTTCCCCTGTGTTTTCCAACCACAAACCAATAACAAGTTGAGATATAAAGAAGGAATCATATTCCCAGAGCTCCGGGGAAGGCCTGCGGCATCGTAAAAGGTGCCGGTCGCCTTACGCTTTGCCCGTGTTGGAGAATAAAAGAAGCGGCGTTTACAAGGCATGCAAAAGCCTTGCCAGATACAACTAAAGATATGCTATGTCGTTGCACATATATATGTACATATGTATGTAGAAATATGTGCGGTTTGTGTGCACGTGATTTGCTTTCGGTAGGCATGTGTACTCATGCTCATGTACGTTTGCGTTCTTTCGGAGAAAGTGTCTCGTCGTGCCAAAAGTGAGCTTTTTTCTCCAGGCAGTCTGTAAAACCATCAAAAATACCAAAACCCGTAAGCCCAGAAACGAGCATATCTCTGTGGACAACGCCAAAACAAACAAAAAAATTACAAAGATTGAGAGCTGCTCCAAACGCCATTTCTCGAGCTGTTAATCGGGATGCCTAAGTGAGCATAGTTGCGGAGACAGTCCCCAAAAAATCGAAAACATCAACACCAACAGGCCAAAAAATGAGCGCATCTCGAGGGAAGCAAAGCAACCATTTAGAGTTAGTCTAAAGGCCATTTTGCGTCCAAAAAACAAACCGGATAACCCAAGTGAGCAGATTTCTCGAGACAGTTTCAATAAGAGCAAAAGGACCAATACACATAAGCTTTGCAAAGCCAACCAGTGAGCAAGCATATCTTTCGAGACCTTCCCAAGGAAAAAACTAACCAACCAAAGATTTAGAACTATTCCGAAGGCCGTTTCTCGAGACAGTCCCAGAGAAATGCGACAATAGCAACGGAATAGCTAGACTCACACGGACTAAACGTGTGGATTCTCGGGGGGCACGATACCCTATACACATACATATGTGTGTACCTATATACATATGTATATGTATGTATATCAATGTATATGGCTCGCTGTGAGCAGCTACAGTTACAAACGTCACCTCGTCATCCAAGTCCGTGTGGTAGCTGTGAATCCTGGCCTGGCCACGCCGCAACTGTGGCAGAAGCACGTGTCTGCTGGGGATGCATCTTTCGGCCTGGCGCCTGCGTCGCCGCAGCCTTTCCAACAAACCTGAGTTGCACGTTACGCTACGCTTCACTCCAGATTACGATGAGATCTCAGTGCCCGGCTTGATGAAGGATTGACAGCTGCTTCGACTTGAGCTTCCTGGGTCGATTTTCATTCCGACATTGGCGACACAAGCTTCTCCGAGAGAAGTGCGGAGTTCGAAGCATCTTGGTTGTCCTCTTTAACATTCGCCTTGCCAGCATTTTCTAGAGATCTGAGACAGGGCACTGTGCTGAATAGGGACGCAATGCTTGAGGAGCCTGAAGGCTGGACCTCTTCGTCCAGAGAAAACAGCAACGACATGTCATTGTGCAGCCGTCACGTATCGTTGCAGAGAAGACAGATCGGTATTTGTGGCCAACCTTCCAAAAGTCGTGACATCGCCCAAACTAGGGGACCCCAAGAGCCATCAACATGGCCTCCTGCCCAAAAGCGAGTACAGGGCACCACCAGGGCTAACCGCATAAATTGAGGAAACACGTCCAACATCGAGAATTGGACACCATCAGGCTCAACCGCAACACGTAGGAAACACGCCCAAAATGGTGTACCGGATACAACGAGGTCTACTCGCAACAGTTCAGGAAACACGTCCAACATCGAGCGATTGACACCGCAAAAAACTCAGGAAACACGCCTTAAATCCAGTACCGGGCACCGCGAGGTCTAACCACAACAATCCAGGAAAGATACCAACATCGAGTATTGGACACCACCAGGCCTAACCGCAAAAACTCACGACACACATCCAAAGTCGAGTACCGGACATCATGAAGTCCAACCGCAAAAATTGGGGAAACAGGTCCAAACTCGAGTACCGGACATCATGAAGTCTAACCGCAGAAACTGGGGAAGCTCGTGCAAAAGCGAATACCGGACACCACAAGGTCCAACCATCAGAATGGGAGTAAACGAAGCACGTCAAAAACCAATTACCGGACACCACGAGGTGAAACCACAACAATTGACCAAACACGTCCGGGATCTACCGCCTGACTAATCACAATAACTGACGAACCGCAGAACCACGTCCAAAATCAGGCACTGGACACCACGAAGTCTCACGACAATAATGACACGAGGTTTGCCCGCCCGTCCCATGCCGGCACTTGCCTGCAGTTCTGAATGTGCATCTGTGTTGCCCTCCTTGCATGGGGAAGGCTACGCTGCTTCTTCAGCTGGGACCCGACAACATCTGGGTACTGATGCAACAAGTCGATCACTCTTTTTGTTCGGTGGCATGAGCTTCGCCTGAACATGCCTGAACTATCTTCATGACTCCTTGCACCTCTTTGATGCTCGTACCGCTACTCTATGACTGCGTCCGCCTCTTCGTCTGGCACTCCGCCCAAGAACAGCGACAGCTTCACCCCAACAGCGTTGCATTCCCTCAGCAAATCCTTGAAATCCTGCAACATGACAACCTCAGCAACATGATCTTTGATGTAGAAGAAGCAAGCAGTTTCGAGTCGCTTGGCTTCGCACAACCTTGCTTGAGCGAGTATGCTGCACACGCCGGACACGGTGAGTTCTTTGCAAAGCTGCAGTTCACAAAATAGCTGGAGCTTGGTGACTCCATACTTATGGCTGACAGCAAGCAACTGCTGCGTCATCGCAACTCTCGAGCTGCCTCCCGGACTGTCCGCTGCATGTAACGAGACCTCAAATAACGTTGCTTGCACCTTCGCCATGTCATCGCTGTACAAGAAGTGCAAGAATGTTCTGAAAGCTACTGCGCTGCAATCTTGAATGACAATGACCCTTGAGATCGATTCTTGCAAACCGCTCCTGAACAGACTTCCAAAATACGTTGCTCTTGCGCACAGAATTTGTGAATGGGCGTGGATGACCTCCTCCTGCACGTGGAACTCCACGTCGCAGCAACGGCCGCTTTCCCATAACGCTTGCATGTCGCAGGAAAGTGTATTTTCCTGCACTTCCAAAACCTGGCAGAGGGATTGGCGCTCAATGTCTGGAGGCCCGTGCGGGCGGACTTCCAGAGCAAACTTGGCAGTCAGAGCATCGTTCTGAACCCACTCTGATTCCAGCAATTCTTCGTGGGTGAGGCCAAAGATACCCACGGCAGCATCAGAACCCTCCACATCCGGCCCATAGGTCCGATAGCTTGGGTCATCATGGATAACGTCGCCACGCTTGCCCCACTGAACAAAGGCGCCAGAGCGTGCCTTTACATAGACCTTGTATCGAAAAGCCACGCGCCCGCCAGTGCAAACCAAGGCGAGGGACCCCGTTCGTCCACTTGGATCATACACAAAAAAGAAAGCCTCTTGACCCACAAGCAATTGATCTGACTCCAACCGGTCTTGACGAGATTGCCGAAGGCCGCTCCGCACCCACGAAAATCCGTCTATCCGCCAGATGTACTCGCCTTCGGTGACGAGCTTCCTGAAGCTGATGTTCTCTGATTTGCAAGCCGGTGCCAACTGTCTTACTGGAGCCTTTTCAGGCCTCCTACCCAACAAGTCTGCGTCGATCCCCTTTCTCCATTCAATCTCGGCGATGTTGACAGCTTCCTGTGCGGCCAAAATCTTCTGCTGTTCAGCAAGCTCCAGCCGGAGCTGCTGCCTTTCCTCAGCCTCCCGGCTCTCGGACATGAGAGCCTGGCCCCTCGTCTTAGCTTCTCGCACCTGCTGCTCTGTAGCTTCGATCTCGGCACGCAGGCCCTCAGCTGTCACGGCCATGGCCGGTGGAAGAAACCACGTTCAAGGGCTTTAAGGGATTTACGGAGCTACTTGAACATGATTCCAAGTGGGTTGTTGCATTCTGCATCAACTTCGTGTTGGCTCGTGGTCAAGCTGAAGTGGTTCCATCATGTATCTGTCGCTCACAACAGGCACCTGCTCTATCAACTGAAGCAGCTGCAGAAGCGGAAGGATAAAGGCACACTATCGCAAGTCGGATTCCCGAGCCACTAAAAATCATAACTGGCACCTTGTCAAATACTGTGAAACATGCACGGCGCGCCGTCCTGGTCCAAAGCCGTCGTCTGTGGCCAAGCCACACACGTGCCTCACGAATTTATACGAGTGCCCTGGTGGCCATTAAGATTCTGGGGTTTGAAACATATGCGGTTACCTCTGCTTCCAGACTTCCTGTCATCATTGGTTTACAGACTTACAAATGAGGGTTTAACGGAAGGCTTAGTGTTCCCCAACGCGAAACTCGTCATGTAGTGAAAACAATTACAATTGAGTTCCGGCTGGGGCCCTTTAATCCTGGCACGTGAGCCAGCATCTGTCAGCAAGCACGTCAGCCTTTTGACTGCTGTTTCTTGTTTTTGCCTAGCTTCTTTGGGCTAGCTCAGTGTCTTGCGGGTAGAGGGCTGGGATGTGCAATCTCTGGCTTTCAACAAGACCCAAGCTCTGAACGCTTTGAGCTGAAGGAGCTGAAGCAATAGCTGCAGCCTGTTAAACGAGCCGCGCATCCCAGTGGAAGCTGCCACTCTCCAGGCCTTTGAGTCGTAACAGCCACATTTTCACCAGGTCATACTCCCCGTTGACATCTGCTGATGGACAACCTCCGTTGCAGTCCTTTCGGGTTCAGGGCTTTCGGAGTAGAGCGTGCTTTCGGAGTAGTCCGTCGCAGCTAGGTTCAGGAAGTGAGTTTAGGATGCAGGCTTCTTGTGTGAGCTTATGCGCGGGGTGTTGGCTCGAAGTTCAAGTTGCCCTATTTGGATGCAAAGCTTTTGAGGCATCAGGCTCAGTCCCCAATGAGCGAAATCGCTGCACCCCAAAGCGCATACCTAATTGTGAACCCCTACCCCGTCAACTTATAAGCCTGATCTGCAAAACTTCACCCATCAGCCGGTTTCACAGCAGGTTTTGTTCAATGGAACAAGTTTCAAACAAAACCCAATGCTGTGTGACAGCCTTGCGGCTGAGCTGTAGGATTGGGGGGCTTCTGCGAGGCGAGGCTCACGTTGAAGGGGTTGACGGCACAATTGAAAAGTAGGGATTGGCGGGTTTATATTCAGGACTGATGGGGTCTGGTAGCGGGGGCTGTCAGAGTTGAGAACTGCTTTGGGAAGCTAGGTTCAGAGTTTGGCAAATCGGGGACCTACCGCATCATGTTAGGAGTTGGGCTTGGGTAGAAGCTGTGGCATCCAGAACATGCGCCAAATTCAAGCTGCAGGGATGAACATGGGGGCCAAGAATGGCCCTCTCTCGGGGTTTCACAATATCGGGCAGCACTTCATGTCATAAGGTCTAGGAGAAATGCCTCATACCTAAGGATATGGAACTGCTGCTTGATTTCACAACAGAAGTTTCTCGAGGTGTGGCTTCATCCCCGTGCAACGGAATGTTGGTGTGTTCGCAGCAAAATCGAAACGATTCGCCAAAACCCCTCACAACGTTTCACAACCATACACCTCAACTTCAACCCCAAAGCGGAAATCCCCAAAAAAAAAACTATTGGAGAGGCCAGTATCCCAGCTAGCGCAGAGACGAGGCGCCAGCGAATCACGCATCCCAAACTCGCCCGAGCCGCTGGGACGCCGGATCCATTGTGTCACCCGGCATGGCGAACAAGGTCGGAGAAAAGTTACGGGTGCAGGGGTACGCATGAGACCAATGTTCCAGAATACTTTCAAGTCTAGGCTGTGAGGCTTGATTCTTGAGACAAACAAAGATGTACGTCGTCGAAGTCATGCAGTTTTCTAGGGTGTAGGACGGAGATGCTATCATCTTGAGTCTTCATAGATACGAATCATGAATCATGAATCTAACACGTGCTTGGGCGTGAATGCCCAAGCCATCACGGCTTTGTTTCGGCGGCACAAATGCTGGAGACTTTCCAACCGCGAATGTGCTTGTAACATCCAACGATGACCAACTAGGATAACAGCCCAAGATAAGAGGTGGCCGTCCATCATCAGCTTTTTTCTTCAGCGATGTCGGCGCTTTCCTGTTGCTGAGTGGCCACCTGCATGGGAGGCAGCATGGAGCATCAAGCCATCGATGTGCGAAGAGCACTGTAGATTCCAAGGATTTGTCCACGGTCAAGAGCACGTTGATGAGTACGCTGGGCAAGCTGATTACGAAGGTCGCAAACTGTCACGCTGGTTCAGCACCCATCCCATGAGTGGTGGGCCTGCATTCCCTCGAGCACGCTTGAGAAATGCACCGATACTTACTCGAACGTCGAAACTGGCTATTGCCTCACATCTGAAGGCGTGGAGGTCCCAATAATATTCTGCGAAGTTTTCTCTTGGATTATCATCCGCTTGCCAAAGGAGCTCTATGTGATGCAACAACGATTCCTGTTGCTTCGAGTCTTTGGCCATTATCAGCAGCTTCACCAGCACGGCCATCCAGTCTCGCTGCTGAGGTCTGTCCAAGATGCAGATACTGATGATACCGCGAAGCTGGAACAAAATGCCGTCCTTTCGAACCCAGCTGCGTGATTCGCATGAACCTGCTTCAAGTTGCAGGAGATGCAGTAGACCTGATGCGACGGCCGCCCGCACATGCTTCGAAGGTCCACATGAGAAAACGTCCAAAGCCGTGAAGCCCGCTTTGCATACCTCCTCGTCATCACTTGCACAATGATGCAAGAGATCCTGGAGCACGGCGTCCACCGTCCGCTTGACATGAGCTTCGGAAACAAAAGACCCCCAGGATGCGAAGCTTTGCATCAGGCGCCAACACTGACCTCAGATTGGGGTCGATTCCCGGTAAACTTCAAGTTGGAAGCTAAAGGAACAACTTCTGCCATGCCAAGGCGCAAAAGAATGTTTTGCCTGCGTACAGGTCGGCGTCAAACCGAGCCAGCACGAACTGCCTCACACCTACTGGCTCGGCTCGCCGGGCGTGGTTGAATTCACGGAGAAGGTCTGCGCATTCAACCATGGAGGATGGCCTGACAAACATGCTATGGAGCTGTGCGGTGGTGAGCGCGCACGGTTCCCAAGAAGAAACAGCCATGTCGTCCAGCCAAGCGGCATAACCCTTGCTGTAATGTCGGGCTGTGTTAAATGACACGTTGCCTATGAAAGGGCCCTCTGTTACAAAAATGCTTCGAACGCTGATTGCTTTTTGTACCCTGTAGGTTTCGAAAGCAAAGAAGCAAAGAACTCTTGAACAATTCTTGGGTATACTTCGGCAAATCCACA